CTAAAAGGAGCAGAACAGAAAAAGCTAAAAGGAGCAGAACAGAAAAAAGCTAAAAGGAGCAAAACAGCAGAAAAAAAGAAGCAGCTTGGATGCTAGCATGAGCAAAGCTGTGGCTAAAAATCTGAAGATGCTGAAGCTAAAATAAACAAAACCGGAGCTCAAAATCAGCAACACTTTAGCTCAAAGTAGCGAAAGATGCTAATGTTGAAACTAAAAATAAAACTGTACATAAAATTAGCTGAACTGTGGCTACGTGTAATAAAACTAAAAGTAGCTAGACAGTAGCTAAATGTAGCAAAGCAGTAGCTAAAATGAGCAAAAACAAATTCCAAAGCTAAAAGTAAAAATCATGATTAAATGACCATTGCAGCTAACATTAAAAAAATACTAAAGCTAAAATCTGCTAAACTGTAGCACAAAGTAGCAAAAAGATGATCGAGTTAAAAAGAGCAAGATAGAAGCTAAAATTTGTAAAACTGTAGCAAAAATTACCCAAAACAAATGCTTCAATTTAACAAAACAGTAGCTAAAGATAGCACAGCAGTAGCCAAATTTAGCAAAACAGATACAGATAACCTAGATTTTAGCTTAAACAAAAAAGTGTTTAAGTTAAAGCAAACAACAGGAACAGTAGCTAGAAATCAGCAACACTGTAGCCTAAAATAAAAATATTATAAAAGCTAAAATAAAAACAGTAACTAGAAATAATGCAACAGTAACTAAAAGTAGCAAAACTGATGAAAATAAATTACCAAAACAAACACTAAAGGCTAAAACTAACAAAACAAGAGCTAAAGCTAAATTCAGCAAAGAGTAGCTAAAAGGAGTAGAATAGTAAATAAAAGCTAAAAGAGGCAGAAGTTTCTTTCGGCTGCTTCCTTCAGTAGAGGTTGCCACAGTGCTTGAACTCGCATGAAAGATTTGACATTTTATTTATTCTTTTTACACCCGATGCTCGTCCTGACGCAACCTGGGCTCGAACCGTCAGCCCCAAGACTTCAAGGCTGCGGCACCTAACCACTGAGCTACCGAAGCAGATTCTAAAGAGAACAAACTATTTGGAGCTGATCTGTGAACTTCTACAGAACAAAAATGAAGTTTAGCTGCTAAAGCTAACAGCTGATATTCTTCTACAGTTAGCTTCCACGGCTAACAGCAGCTGATCTTTACACCTGTGCGTGTACTTTACTTCTGTTTATCGTTAAAAGAATAAACTTGTTTCCCGTTCACAGACGGCAGATTTAAGAAACACGAGCGCGCTGCCATTGATCAGAACCCTTGGGTCCGTGTACCTTGCTGAGCAGGCGTGGGCGGGATGATCTCGGGGTCGGGGAGCGAGCACACCACCTGAACCGGATTGTCCTTGACCGCCGTGGCGCTGGTGGTGAAATTAAAAATCTGGCCTTGCCGGACGCAGTCGAAGGAACACAGCAGCTCGTCGTGCTTCATGAGCCTGGGGAGGCTCGGGATGTTGATTTCAACCTGAGGAGGAGGAGCAGACATTACAGTTTAACACAAATAAACTACGACAAATACCTGAGAGAGAAATTTAACCCTGTGACGTTTTTTTTAACCCTTGGAAGTTCACAGTGGAAGGAAAAATAAAAACATTTGTTTGTATTTCTTTGTTTTTTTGGTGCTGTCAATAAACTCGTTCCTGACAAAGACTCAAAACATTTAGAGTTTGTTAGAATTGTTTAAAATGCTCCTGTAACATCACTGCCCTCTAGTGGCCCTCTGGAGCAACATCAACCGTATTGAAACCTCATTATACAAGTCCTTCTCAAAAAATTAGCATATCATGAAAAGGTTCTCTAAACAAGCTATTAACCTAACCCTCTGAATCAACGACGTAACTCTAAACACCTGCAAAAGATTCCTGAGGCTTTTAAAAACTCCCAGCCTTGTTCATTACTCAAAACTGCAATCATGGGTAAGACTGCCGACCTGACTGCTGTCCAGAAGGCCATCATTGACACCCTCAAGCAAGAGGGTAAGACACAGAAAGAAATTGCTGAACCAATAGGCTGTTCCCAGAGTGCTGGATCAAGGCACCTCAGTGGGAAGTCTGTGGGAAGGGAAAAGTGTGGCAGAAAACGCTGCACAACGAGAAGAGATGACCGGACCCTGAGGAGGATTGTGGAGAAGGGCCGATTCCAGACCTTGGGGGACCTGCGGAAGCAGTGGACTGAGTCTGGAGTAGAAACATCCAGAGCCACCGTGCACAGGCGTGTGCAGGAAATGGGCTACAGGTGTCGCATTCCCCAGGTCAAGCCACTTTTGAACCAGGAACAGCGGCAGAAGCGCCTGACCTGGGCTACAGAGAAGCAGCACTGGACTGTTGCTCAGTGGTCCAAAGTACTTTTTTCAGATGAAAGCAAATTTTGCATGTCATTCAGAAATCAAGGTACCAGAGTCTGGAGGAAGACTGGGGAGAAGGAAATGCCAAAATGCCAGAAGTCCAGTGTGAAGCACCCACAGTCAGTGATGGTCTGGGGTGTCATGTCAGCTGCTGGTGTTGGTCCACTGTGTTTTATCAAGGGCAGGGTCCATGCAGCTAGCTATCAGGAGATTTTGGAGCACTTCATGCTTCCATCTGCTGAAAAGCTTTATGGAGATGAAGATTTCATTTTTCAGCACGACCTGGCACCTGCTCACAGTGCCAAAACCACTGGTAAATGGTTTACTGACCATGGTATTACTGTGCTCAATTGGCCTGCCAACTCTCCTGACCTGAACCCCATAGAGAACCTGTGGGATATTGTGAAGAGAAAGTTGAGAGAACAAGACCCAACACTCTGGATGAGCTTAAGGCTGCTATCGAAGCACCCTGGGCCTCCATAACACCTCAGCAGTGCCACAGGCTGATTGCCTCCATGCCACGCCGCCTTGAAGCAGTCATTCATGCAAAAGGATTCCCGACCAAGTATTGAGTGCATAACTGAACATGATTATTTGAAGGTTGGTGTTTTTTGTATTAAAAACACTTGTCTTTCATTGGTGGGATGAAATATGCTAATTTTTTGGGACAGGCATTTTGGGTTTTCATGAGCTGTATGCCATAATCATCAGTATTAAAACAATTAAAGACCTGAAATATTTCAGTTGGTGTGCAATGAATCTGAAATATATGAAAGTTTCATTTTTATCATTACATTATGGAAAATAATGACCTTTATCACTATATGCTAATTTTTTGAGAAGGACCTGTAAATGCTATTTTTGATCTTATAAAAAAATAACACATTCCTCTCAGTGGGGGATGATGTGGAGTCCTGGCTCTCGTTTAGACCAACCTGTTTGAATAAGGAGCACAAACACTTGTTTTGTGCACGAGTAAACAATTCAGTACAAGCAGAGCCACATGCATGCAGGCTGCAGCAGGGCCCATTACGGCTGACTCCTGTCGGCTTGACTGAAAACATGCTGGATGGTCCGGACCGGTCTGGACCGGTCCGGACTGGTCTGGACTGGTCTGGACTGGTCTGGACTGGTCTGGACCGGTCTGGACCGGTCTGGACTGGTCCGGTCGCTCAGCGCTTGGTGCTCAACAGTTCATTAAAAGAAAAAAACAAGCTGGTCTTGTGCGTTGTGCTTCATAAGGAGGTGAAACAACTTGTTTCCTCTCGAACATAATAAAAGATTTGGTTGATTTAACCAAACCTGAATTTAAACTTAAAGACATTTAAATCAAATAAGTCACTTAAATTGTGTATTTTTATTTCAGGCTCATAGACTCTGAACAAAAATATTTTAAAACAGAAGAAACGAGTCTCAAACACCGAGTGGACCTTGATGGATCGAGCTTTCGGCTGATCGAGTGAACATGAAAGAACCGCGTGTGCGTGCGTGTGTGTGTGTGCGTGTGTGTGTGTGTGCGTGTGTGTGTGCGTGTGTGTGTGTGTGCGTGTGTGTGTGTGTGTGTGTGTGTGTGCATGTGTGTGTGTGTGCGTGTGTGTGTGTGTGTGTGTGTGTGTGCGTGTGTGTCAGTAATAATTACTATTCGGCTGCGCTGCTCAAACATGAGCTCCCCCTGACTTCTTGCTGACCTCGGCGGTTTTAATTTTGCAGCCGAAGTTTAATTTGGAACTTTTTGATCTTTGGGAACTCCTGAACAAAAACCACCTGAGAGTTTCTCTTCTCTTTAAATTCAGCAATTTACACGAATCAACCTTTTTATTTTTTCCCCGTTAAAAGACCAAATCGATTTTATCGGAGGTCGTAACCGAGGCGATCGTTTCAAAGTTCCTCATTAAGATGCAACAAATTCACGAGCCCGGAGAAAGTTTCTGTTCAGAGAAGATCAAAGTGCTGATTTGATTTTCCTGAAGTTACCAAAAGATAAAATGAAAGCAGCGCGGCGTCGGCTCCGTGTTGGAAGGAACTGTTTTCACGTCGAGACTTGAATCTTCATCTTGTTTCACAAACTTTGTTTCATTTTATCCGTTCAGAAATCAAACACGGCTCGACCAGGAAGAGGACGACGTGACGTCTAGCATTTATAATTATTTCTTTTAAAAATACTAAACTTTATTTATAAAAACACTGACATCAGATTAAATTCTTCAAAACATCTTTTTACAGTTTTGCTTTTAAACATTTGTTTAGCTTTTAAAAAGTATAAAACTGTGTTTAAATTAGAGATTTGACTATGAATATACAAAATTTAGGTATGGTTTAATTGATTTTAGCTTTTATTTATAGTTTTTCTCAGTTCGTCTTCTGTTTTGCTTATTGTGGCCTATAGCTGCAGGTTTTTAGCATTTAGCAACATTTTGGCTATGCAAGCTTGTGGCTACAGTTACGCTAATTATATCTATGGTTTAACAAGTTAAACATTGGCTTTGCTAATTATACCTTTTAGCTACTGGCTTAATAATTTTTGCTTTCTGCTACGGCGTCGGTTTTTGTTTTTAATCAATAGGTTAGGTTTGATTAACTTTAGCTGTTTTTACAGACTTTAGCTTTTGTTTACAGTTTGGCTTCTGTTCCCTTATTTTTAGTCTTAAGCTATCGATTTGCTTGAATTAACCATTAGCTCATGGACTGCTAATATTAGCTTTTACCTATCGTTTTGCTAGTTTTTTGCTTTTCAATACGTTTTTTTTAATTAGCTGAAGCTAATTTCAGCTTCTGTTTTGCTTATTGTAGCCTACAGCTAGTGATTGTAGCACTTAGCAACATTTTGGTTGACTTTTTACAGTTTTCCTCATTTTAAGGTTTGTTTAGCTAATTAGTTTTTAGCTACTGGTTTGCTAATTTTTGCTTTTATCTTTAGGTTAGGTTTAGGTCAATTTTAGCTGTGTATTTATGGACTTTAGCTTTTGTTTACAGTTTAGCTTCCATTCCATTATCTTTAATCTTAAGCTACCGTTTTACTTGGCTTAGCCTTTAGCTACTGGTTTGCTAATATTAGCTTTTCCCTATGGTTTTTAATTTGGCTCAATCTAATTTCAGCTTCTGTTTTGTTAATTTTAGCTTTTTTGCTACTGGTTTACAGGTTTTAAGCTACTGTTCAGCTATATTTTAGTTCAGGACGTTTCAGCGCAGAGGACTTAATGTGTAGTTTTACAGAAGATTCAGATCGTCTCGTTAATGTTCACGTTTCGTTTCAGTTTCTGGTTCAGATCTTCTGCAGCTTTGGAAGAACCCAAACAACAAACATTTAGAACCACGTGACGTCAGGACCAGTTCACTCGGACTGTTTTTAAACTCACAAATTAAAAAATGTGAAAACTTTCCCGTGGACATCGATGGGACTCGGCTTCACGGCTGAAACGAGTCCCAGAAAATTAAACATTTTAAATAAACTTTTATGTTTTTCAAAGATCTGTTTAAGTTGGACGATTCTCCTGAAACGTTCAAAGTCTCAAATATAATTTCTGTAAACTTGTGAAGTCGTTGCAGCCAAATCCTTTTGATGGTTTTATTAATAAACATGTCACATCCACTTGATTAAAACTAATGTTTCTTACAAGCCAACAGCTTTTATAATAAACGAGTTTATCAGGTCCTTCATTAACGCTGCGCAGCGGCCATTTTTCATCGTTAGTCTGAGCGCCGACACGACTTCGTCTCCATTACGATAAAAATTCACCAGGACTTTAAAGAAAAGCCGTTTCTTCATTGAACCCCACAGAATGTGACAAAAACGGGTTTCACCAACATTTATTCTGAGCCGACGCGTTTGTGCGTGTTCTCAGTCGTTGGGAAACAAAAGTCCCGTCGTGTTGAGCCGGCTGCTAACGAGCGTCAGGAGGTCGAGTCCATTAACGTGCACGAACAGGGAAGTTAAAGCTCCGCCGTCTAAACGGACGAGGCCGAACATCTTCAACAAAAAACAAACGCTTTGAAATAAAATAAAAACTTCTAGGAGCCATATTTGTGTCTGATTGATGATCTATAGTCTGACGTGGTTTTGGTCTCTGCAAGACCTCCAAGTTGGTGCTTGAAGACCCCCAGTGGGGTCCTGGACTCTGCACCAGATGGAGTTTTATCAGTTTGGAAATCTGAGCTGATGAAACAGGAATTCTCAGGAAGTCCTGAATCCAGATGCTCAGCTGCAGATCAGCTGATGATCAGCTGACCTCAGCAGATCAGCTGATGATCAGCTGACCTCAGCAGGACAGAATAATTCCTGGGAGTCCCGCCCACCTGGTGCCTCTTCTCACAGCTGAGGTTCGGCGGCTGGAAGGTTTGGATCCGAAGACACTGCTGGTGGGGCGACCACAGCCACGTGTTGGCCTCCTCAGACCTGCTGCAGTCCTGCTTCCTGCTGCACCTGAGAGACAGACAGGTGGACAACGCATACACCTGAGAGACAGACAGGTGAACAATACACCTGAGAGACAGAAATGTGGACAACGCATACATCTGAGAGACAGACAGGTGAACAATACACCTGAGAGACAGACATGTGGACAACACATCAAAGAAGTGTCCCAGAGGACGACGGGACACAAAGGATGAGGTGTGAATGCTGAGTCAGCTTTTAGTTTCAGTTTGTTTTCTGAACCTTTCATACATTTTAAAAATATTTCACTTTATTTTAATTTGTCTAAAGCTGGTGAAGAGTCTCAGTCATCCAGGACATGATGAATTCAAAAAGCGTTCAATACAAAAACAACTGGACTTTATTTGTAACAGAAGACGTGACGAGGAGCAAAACGTCTTCTGTTACAAAGTCCAGTTGTTTTTGTATTGAACGCTTTTTGAATTTCTCTAAAGAAACAAAGATTTATTCGGCTCCTTCAAACAGAAGTTTCTCTGTCAAACCAGATTCAGCTACTGGCTCTCTGAATCTTCATTTCCAGCTAGCCTTTAGCTATTTTTAGTTACAATTCTGCTTTTTGGCTTTTAACTGGATCTTTGCTACTTTTAACGTTTAGAGAGATTTTTGACACTTTTAGCTAACTTCTTGCTATTTTTACCTTTCAGCTTACATTAGCTTATTTCAGCTCAGCTAGCTTTTTGCTGTTTTTGGCTACCATTACACTACACTTTAGCTTTTAGCTAGCTTTTTGCCATTTTTCGTTTTTAACTGCATTTTGTTACTTTGGATTTTTTTTGCTAGCAAATGCTACTTTCAGCTAACCTTTTGCAACTTTTGGTTTTTAGCTGTTCTTCAGCTACTTTTAGCTACAGTTTTGCTACGTTTTCTTACAGCTAGCCTTTAGGTACTTTTAATTTTTAGCTTCCTTCTCACTACTTCAGCTATTAACCACCTTTTAACTATTTTGATTTTAACAAGCAATATGCTACTTTTAGCTATTTGTTGATGTTGCTTTTAAGTACCTTTACAAAAGTTAAATTGTAGCTAGTGCTATGCTAATTTTAGCTATCCTTTTACTACTTTCCTTTAGCTAGCGTTTTGGCACACAATTTGGTCACATAGCTATTAGATAATATTTTGTGGCTATAGCAAGCCTTAAACATTTAGCTAGCCTTTTGCTATTTTTAGCTTTAGTTCTGCTACTTTTAACTTTTAGTATTTTTAACTTTGAATTAGCACTTTGCTGTTGTAGCTAATGGCATGTTTTTTTTTTAGCTAAGGTTTTGAACTTTTAGTTTTTAGCTCATGTTCTGCTTCAGCTTAGTTTCAGCTCCTTCAGCTGACATTCGGCACTCGGTTGGACTCACTTTCCCTCCAGGACACACCAGCCACAGAACGGGTCCTTCATGGAGACGCAGGAGTGGCAGTCCTTCTTCAGGTGACACGTTTGGACCGGAACCTTGGTGATCTGAATACACAGAAGAGGCTTTTATTGTGAAAGGACACAACTCTTTGGCTTTTTAAACAAATAAACAGACAACTCCTTTCATCTTCTGACGGTTTAAACAAACCAATTTACCTTCACATCACGGTCAGTTTGAAATATTTAACCGCGGTTTCTAAAACTTGGACTCGTCTAATCACAGGACAGTTGTCCACTTTGTCTCGGTCCATTTAAAAACGAGCTGTGATCCACGGAAGACGACAGCCGTTTCTCCTCTTTGCCTGATAGAGCTTTATTCGTTCCAGTCGTGGAACTCAGTTTTGATTTAATTTTTACAAAAAGTCCCGACTGTTTCAAAATCGAGGCTGTGGAAACGGAGCTGTCCGGCAGGAAACGGCCCACAGCTACGACTAGTTTTACAAAATAAAAGCTGAACGCCTCCCATCAAGTTTCAGCTTTACTGCGTGAACGTACGAATGTTTGAACGATCTTGGAGCGCAGCGACTTCTTTACTTTGGAAAATATGGAAATTAAACATTTATCTTGAGCTGCTGTGACATTTCCTACAATCTTTCCGTCTCCGTCTGATAAATGGAAACGAGCAGCTGGAGCGAGCTCCGGCGTCGACGCGCCACTTGATCAAAGCAAATCGCTCTCTTCAAGTGCGTCTGTAATTAATTCATTTCTCAATCAATAACACCCATTTCACCTCGGCGCGGCGAGAGCGATGGCGAGCGAGAGATGAAAAGACAAAGGGAGGGAGAGACGAACGGCGGGAAAAGATGTGAGTGGAGAACAAGAGGGGCAGCGAATCAATGGCCGACTTGTGTGGTAACGCAGACGGATGTGTCGGCGCTCGTCGACCGAATGAATAAATGATCAAACAACACGACGCGCTCATTAAGGCGGCGGCCTGATGGATGAGGCAGAGGAGCAGAAGTAAGTCGCCGACAGCGAGGCGTTCGGAAGCAGCGAGGAATGGATTGAGAGAAGAGGAGCGATCGATGCGCTCGGTGTGCACGTGACCTTTTTCTCCGTGGTGATGTACAGATGTTGGAGGCTGGAATCGAACAGCAGGTTCTTGTTGACCTTGTCCCCGGTGACGTCGCTCGACGCGCGCCCGTACGTCTCGGGCTGAGCCGACAGATGCACCTTCAGCACCTGCAGGAACACAAAGCGGCTGAACCTGGACCCTCACTCACCTGAACACTTCAAAACACAGAATTTATTATCTGGCAAATACTCAAGTAAACACAAACAAAAAAAATATTAATAAACATTCAATACTTCTCAACATATTAAATAAAAATATATTTTCTCCATAGAAGTTTGTTAGGATCTCTGATTCCTTCAGACGTTCAGCTACCGGCCCTGTTTTTGTCTCGTGAGGCTACTTTTAGCTTCAAACTAGCCTTTTGCTACTTTAAGCTTTTAGCTATTGTTTTGTGTCTAAGCTTTTAGCATCTCCTGACATTGTGTCTTTAGCTACTTTTTTTTTCAAATTGTATCTTTCAGCTCGCATTTTGCAACATTTAAATTTTAGCTAGTCTTTTACGATTTCAGGCTTTTAATAACTTTTAGCTTTTTACCAGCATTTTGCTACTTTTAGCCAGAACTTGGCAGATTTTAACATTTAGGCTTAAGAAAATTTCAAACTTCAGCCAGCTTTTTAAAAAATTTTTTTGCGTTTAATCAGCCTTTAGTCACTATTTACCCATTTTTGGATGCTTTAGACTATTATTTTGTGACATTATCTTTGCTACTTTTAGCTTTTAGGTAGCCTTTTGCTATACATAGCTTTAAACTAGCATTTTGCAACATTTAGCTTTAAAATAGTCTTTTGCTGCTTTTAGAGCTTACATAGTCTTTCACCATATGTTGACACCGTTTTGATTTAGACATTTAGCTTGATTTTTTTGTTTAGTTTAGCTTGAAGCTAGCTTTTTGCTACATTTAGCTTGTAGCATTTTGCCACTTTAAGTTATTAGCCAACCTATTGCCATTTCTAGCTTTTAGCAAGTCTTGCCACTTTAAGCTTTTGGAAGGCCTTTTCCTGATTTTAGCTTTTAGCCTAGCTTTAGCAACTTTTGGATCTTTGCCAGACTTTTGCTATTTTGCTCAGATCTCTCTTGTAAACGAGTCCCTGAGGCTCAATGGGATTAATTGTATAAATAAAGGTTGAATGAACATTCTTAGCCTTTAGCCAGGCTTTTACTACTTTTAGCATTTAGCTGACATTTAGTTACTTTTCCTCTCTAGATATCAGGTTTTAGCTAGCCTTTTGCTAATGTGTATTAAAATTACCATGTTGCTAATGCTAGCTATTTATTTGCCATTTTTAGCTTTGAGCTAGCCTTCACTAAATTTAGCCTTTTAAGTAGCCCTTCGCTACTTTTAGCTTGTACACAATGTTTTGTCAATATAGGATAGATTTTTTTATACCTTTTGCTAGAATTTTGGTTGTTTTAATCTTTCAAAAGTCTATTGCAATTTTAGCATTTGGCTTATTTTAGCTTATGTTCGGCTTCTTTTAGCTTTTTGAACCCAGTTTCAGTCATTCAGTGTCACAGGAAGTGTTTCTTCTGTTACAGTTTGTCTCTGAGGGCCAGCGATGACGTGACAAACAGAAGAACAGTAAAAGAAGACTTTAGCTCGACGCTGCGGTCCAAGCGTCGGCTACCTCTCCGTTGGCGGTGCCCACAAACGCCACGGCGTGCTCCATCTCCACGGCCACAGCCACCGCAGTCATGTGAACGTTACGGAACCACGAAGGCTCGGCTGTTAAGGCGAACGCAGCCTTGCTGGCTAAAGGCGACGGCAGGAACTCTGCTCCACATTTGTATAAATCAACCATGGGGCTCTAAAGGAGAGGAGGACACGTTTCAGTCTTTGGCTCCACTGGTCCAGCTTCACGCCAGCTTCACACGAGCTTCCCCTCACCTGACCGCTGTTGGTGTTGCTGTTGCCGTTGCACACGTCCTCGGACTTGGACGAGTACGGCGAGTAGACCGCGGGCTTTCCGTTGATGGAGCCCGCTTGGCTGTAACAGGCTCCGATGACCTCCACCAGCCGATCGTTGATGGACTTCAGAGGGTACGAACCTGCAGACAGGAACAAACAAAACCATCTGGACCCAAACTTCTCTTCTCATGAACAAATTATCTTTACGCAGTTCGACTGTTTACAACTAAACAGGTGCCGGTCAAATTGTACCTCCGCTTCGTACCTGCCCAACAGTTCGTACCACTAGGGTACAAAATGGTTATCTGTAGCTGTTTGTTTTAGCTAAATATCTTCTGAAACACTGGACAGGTTTGACTGGATAAACTGGACTTAAAAGACACAAAAATAACTCTGTGAGTTTGACGTGGTAGTAGACGGGGGTCATCCTCAGCACACAGTCTGAGCACGACATCGTGTGACAACGCATGAGATTGTACCTAAAGTTGTTTTGAAGGTCGGACCAAAGCGCTACAAGAGTTAAAACAAATGAGGTTAAATGACTGGAATAACTGGACAGAGAACTGGGATGAATCCACAACAGGAGTCATGGAAATAAAGATTTATTTAATCAAATAAATCTAAATAATCTAAAAGTGTGGAAAAGTTTCTGCACAGCTGAGAGAAGCGACTTCTGGCCGTTACACATGATCAACTTCACACAGACTTTCTGGGGAGGATAACTTTCTTATTTTATTTCCAAACATTAAAGTCAAAACTCAAAGCCAAGAATGCTCTTTGATAAAACTGTGATATAATCAGTTCTCCAGAGCAAGACACCAAATGAGCCGTTCTGAGACGTCGCTTCAGCTGCTGGCTTTAAGATGAAGCGGCAGCTCCAAACAAGCAGAAGAAGCATCTCACCGACACGGTTCGACCCAATCTGATGTTCTGCCAACTTCAAGAAACAGGAAGTACGTACACAGAGCCGACGACGTCTCCTCCTCTGAGGCGAAGGCCACAAACAGAACCTTGTCGGACGCAGAAACTGTTCCGTACTGACCCGAGGCGGTCAGGTTTAGGGCCAAAACGGCACCAGGGGCTCCAACAAAAGCAGCCTAAGAGACACAGAAGAGGCAGATGTTGTCTGTAAGAACAACTTAAATAATTTAAAGATTTTGTGACAAACGTTCCGAAATGTCTGAGGTCAAGAAGTGGACTCTTTACGTTGGTGGAGCTACAGCCGAGCTGCAGCTCCGTGTGCGAGTAAAACCTCTGATCGTCCTCAGTAAAGGTCAAGTCGTTGTTGTCTTCTAGCATTTAGCTACTAGCTACATTTCTGCTACTTTTAGCACTTAGCTAGCCTTTGGATAGATTCAGCTTTTAGTCAACCTCTTGCCAAACCTAGATATCAACCAGTCTTTTGATAGTTTCATCTTTTTGCAGTTTTTTTACTTTCACTTTGTAGCTAACATTTTGCCACTTTTAGCACCTAGCCATCCTTTTGCTGCTTTTAGCTTTTAGCCAGTCTTTTGCTATGTTAGATTTTAATTAGCCTTTTGTACTTTTACGGAATTTCTTTTGCTGCTTGTAGATAGCACCTTGCTACATTTAACTATTAGCTATTTTTTCTACTTCAGCTGTTAAATAACCTTTTACAAGGTTTTGTTTTAATTTTTTGTAGCTTTCAGCTAACATTATGTTACTTTTAGCATTTAGCTTGACTTTTGCTACTGTTAGAAAGTGTATTGCTACTTTTAGCTTTAAACATGCCTTTTATTAGTTTTAGCCTTGAGCTAGTGTCTTGCTACTTTTAGCTCTTAGCCAGCCTTTTGCTACTTTTGGCTTTTGCTACGTTAGCTTTTAAATGACCTTTTGTACGTTTAAGGTATTTCTTTTGCTGCTTTTAGATAGTGTTTTGCTACACTTAGCTATTAGCTATTTTTTCTACTTAAGCTGTTAACTAACCTTTTGCAATTTTTTGTTTTAATCTTTTGTTGCTTTCAGCGAACATTTTGTTACTTTTAGCTTTTAGCTAGCCTTTAGCTACTTTTAGAAAGTGTTTTTACACGTTTAGCTTTTCTATATTTAGCTTAATCTATTTTTAAACTACTTTTAGCTAGTGTATTGCTATTTTTACCTTTAAACTAGCCTTTAATTAGTTTTAGCCTTTAGCTAGTGTTTTGCTACTTTTAGCTCCTAGCCAGCCTTTTGCTCCTTTTGGGTTTTAGCCAGCCTATTGCTATGTTGGCTTTTAATTAGCCTTTTGTACTTAAGGTATTTCTTTTGCCGTTTTTAGATAGCATTTGGCTACATTTAGCTATTGGATTTTTTTTTCTACTTTAGCTGTTAACTAACCTTTTGCAATTTTTTGTTTTAATCTTTTGTTGCTTTCAGCTAACATTTTGTTACTTTAGCTTTTAGCTAGCCTTTTGCCACTTTTAGAAATTGTATTGCTACTTTTAGCTTTAAGCTTGCCTTTTTCTATATTTAGCTTCATCTATTTTTTAAACTACTTTCAGCAAGTGTATAGCTATTTTTAGCTTAAACTAGCCTTTGTTAATTTTAGCCTTTAGCTAGTGTTGTGCTACTTTTAACCTTAGACTTTAAAGCAGAGGGTTGAGGCGTCTCCACCTTCTCCCGTTGTTTAAGATGAAAAGCCATGCTGTAGTTTTGGAACCGGAGTCTGCTCTGAAGAACTTGAGGCTGGACACTGGACACCAAAGTCCTTCCTACAGAACCTCCCAACAGGCTGGTTCAACAGGCCTCAAGTAACTAAAACTAAATGTGTAAAAAAAGTATTTAAAATATTTAAGTACTTCAAGAGTAAAACGTGTATTACAGTACCTGAACCTTGTTGTACTTGTTGGTGGCGCTACAGTTGAGCTGCAGCTCCGTGTACGAGTAATAACTCTGATCGTCCTCACACATCCTGGCAATGAAGGTGAAGTTCTTGTTGTCCGGCAGCCCGAGCGTGCGGGAGAACAGGAAGTAGACAAAGTTGTTGTCTTTGAAGGCGAAGCGAAAGTCGTGACGGTAGCGCAGGACGAAGGGGTTTGCCTGGACCGCGGAGGCCTCGATGATGCTGTCGAAATACACCCACTCTTTGTTGTACTCCTGGAGGATGCGGGTGGAGATCAGCTTGGTGCTGTCGTAGCTGCCGTAGCCTTTAGCAACCTAAAACAAAACGAAACGGAGGAAAACAAAACGTTTACAGACACTTCATGAAAACAGACTCCCTTCCAGCAAAGACCTTCTGGATCCACCTGAACATGAAAAAACTCGTCTGACAACCAGGACTTCATGAGTAAAAGTCTCGGTGCAGCCAGAGGGCGGAGGGGGTTTGAGTCCGTGACCTCAGGATCCATCCTGTTCACAGATGAAGTGGTCCTGTTGGCCACATCATGCCAGGATCTCCAACCCTCACTGGAGCGGTTCACAGCCCATCGTGAAGCGTCTGAGGATCAGCACCTCCAGATCTGAGGTCATGGTCCTCAGACGTTAAAGGCTGGACTGTCCACTCTGGGTCGGAGGTGCTTCTTTAGGTGGAGGACTTTAGGCCCATCAGGGTTTTGTTCACTAGTGAGGGAAGGGAGCGTGAGACTGACAGGTGGATCAGTGGAGCTTCTACAGTATTGTGTACACTGATCTGGTCCATTGTGGTGAAGAGGAAGCTGAACTGCAAGAAGATCTCCGTTTACCGGTCGGTCTACGTTGATCTCTCACCTATGGTCACGAATTCTGGGTAGAGACTGAAAGAACAAGATCTCAGATACAAGTGGTCCATAGTTTTCTCCACAGGGTGGCTGGACTGTCCCTCAGGTGGGAAGTTCAGTCGTCTGGGTCAGACGGAGCAGAGCCGCTGCTGGTCCACATTGAGAAGAGCCAGTTGAGGACGTTTGGGTTTCTGGGACGGACGTCCCGAGGGAGTTTTTCCAGGCTTGTCCAACTGGGAGGAGACCCCATGGAAAACCCAGGACATGCTGGAGAGACTGTGTCTCGGCTTGGAGTCCTCCTAGATGAGCTGGAAGAAGTGTCTGGACAGATGTCTGGACCTCCCGCTCCAGCTGCTGCACCAAAGACCCAACTCCAGGACAAGTGGAAGACGATGGTGTTTGTGACATTTATTTATTTTTATTTACGCGAGTAAACCTCATCGTTGTGTGTCTGTGTGTTTGAATCCTCACCAGGAACACGGGGAGTTTTTGTCCTCCTTTCTGGAAGAACGACATCACTCCCACCACAGACACGCCCTGCTCGGAGCTCGCCACGTACGACTTCTCCCCGTTGTTGTCGCTGTAGTACTCCACGTTGTCCACGTTGCTCAGGTTCCTCAGCGAGCAGATGCCCCTGAAGAGACTGCCGCAGACCACCAGCTCGTTCCGGTCTTGGAAGACCAGCAGCAGCTTGTTGTGGTTGTTGGTTTCCTTGGAGTTCTCGCAGGCGTCGGTGACCGGCGGCGTGCACTGTGGGTTGTCCTTCTTGGGGCCCGTCTCAACGCGCACCTCCAGCCCCAGGTCAGAGTTCAGCTGGTAGAGGCCGTTGACGGCGCCGACGTACAGCCGGCCCGTGCGGTCGTCCATCACCACGTTGTTGATCAGCGTGTCGGAGGAAAACGCTGCGATCCCGCACGGGCTCAGGTAAACCGTTGCCATGGAGACCACCGTCAGCGGCCACACCCACCAGCGCTCCATCGTGTCTGAAAAACAAAAACGACGTTTCTTAATGTTTTTACTGAGATTCGGTAAATTACAAGAATTTCAGCAATAACTTAGGAAAAAATCTGAATAAAAGATACAAAAACTATAAAAGTACATTAAGTACACCTTAAATGTTTGTTAGGATGTTAAAAATGTTAATTTAAGGTCCAAATAAAAGGTTTAAAAATGTCCCAGTGTTCAGGAACCATCCCAGTAGCTTTCATGGTACCAGTGACTTATTTTACCATGTATGGCAAAAAGTTTTGTTACATAATCAGTGCAAGTGTAACTTTCCCTCAGTGCAGTGAGGTGAGGCGTTTATTTTATATTTTCACATTAAAGTTAGTCTGCTCCGTATCGTCCCGTTTTTCATCCGGTCTTGGTCAAATTAACTGAAATAAACATCCTTCGGTTTTTGTTATTTGTTGTTTTAAAATATTATTTTCTACACCAAAGACAAATATAATTTTTTGGAGTTATCAAACCGTGTTTGTGACACAGACATGGTTCACAGTTCAAAGTGCTGGTCCAGACAAAACAACGTGATATTTCACATTCGTGCATTTATTCACTAAGAGGGGTGCTTGTTTGTTTTTCTGTGTCTCAGCCGAGTCATTGTTTGTTATAAACAAACAAACAACACTAGCTTTTGGTATTTGTACCTTTCCGCTTGTTGTACCGAGCTGGTACCAAAGTGTAACCTCGTGGTCTGTACTGAACCGTGACCCAGGAGTCCTGCTACAAAACAACTGGATGAACATCTGCAAATTATTTACATTTTAGAAGTCACATGAATCCACATTATCCGACAGAAATGGTGACTCAACATTTTTTACAGATATTGTACCAGAACAGATACAACTCAATCGTTTCTCAACAGAAGATGAAAAGTCTAAAAGGCGGGTGATATGCATTCCTTCATTGATGGTGAGGCCTCATGTTTAAGTGTTTGTACGGTTAAAGACTATTAATGCAAGGAGACGACACTCGTCTCAAATATTTATGATTCTATGTAACGAAAGGCAGAAAACTGTCCGATTCAACTAAAGACAGACATTTAGATTACCGTACTTTCCGCCGTACAAGTCTTATCAGTCCAAATACTTTATGTTTAATAAAGTGGAATAAACATAAATAAGTTTTTTCGTCGTATAAATCACATTTATTATGCGTCACCGCTGACAACCTGGAAATGTGTTGTGCCAAAAATGGATTGGCTGCCAAATGGTGGCCACAGGAGCGTGCACGGGAGGACTTTAACAAGAATTTAACAAGATTAACACTTAAAAACAATTGTTTGTTTACTCAAAATTACAGCAAAGATGTGTCTCAGTTTAACTTTTCCTTAATAAATGCGCTTGAACGATCAAATCAGCTGCATTTCAAAAGCCAATTTGTGGCTGCGGGAGCATGCACAGGGACGACTTATTGTGCATTTCTTCAAAATTTAACAATTTAACACCTAAAAACAATTCTTCGTTTGCTCAACATTTTAGTAAAGGTGTGTCTCAGTTGAACTTTTCGTTAAACAGATACATTTCCCCCTGGGCGGTGCAGCAAAATGCAAATGATTTGACGTTTGCTCCAGGAGTTCTGGAGCAAGACGAAGGTGGATTGGTATGGCAAGCCAAGTGTCTCATTAATAGCCACTTTTACCTATTAATGAGACACTTGGCTTGCCATATAGTTGAGGGCCCTCTAGTGGCTGTAGTGTTCAATATTTTTATTCAGAATTAATGAAATCGTCAGATCTCAGACAAAAATTAGGTTATAAATATGGGAAAACAAATGCGTCGCGTCGCTGTACAAGTCAGTGGAATGTAAATTTATGTGACTTATACAACAAGAAGTACGGTAATTTGGTTTCAGTGATTCATCAGATGTGCTGTTAGGTGGAACATTTCATGTTTTATATTAAGAGTCAAACACAAATTATAACTCTTAACCCCAATTAAAGGTCTTAAAGGTCGAACAGCAGCAGGAAGTGGAGGAGAAAAAGACCGGAGGCTGAAAGACAAAAAACGAGGAGCTTCTCATTAAAGCAGGAACATCCGTTAAAAAGTAGAGGTAGACTCGGAGGGAGAGTCAGCTGATTAGAAAAGACAAAGAGTGTGTGTGTGCGTGTGCATGTGTGTGTGTGCGTGTGCGTGTGTGTGAATGAGAGACTGAGTGCAGCAATTAGTCGTCTGACATCCAGAGTTTCTCCTTCCATTAGTCCTGATGGGAGGGTTTAATTAAAGCAGTGGCTGTAAAACACGGCGCTGCTGTTCGCTAACATGGTGTCGGCTGAAAAAACATCGATCCACACAAACACTCTTCAGCTACAAAGACCAAAAACTCTGCCGTTATCCTGATTCTGTTATCCTATTTAAAACAGTTATCTTGAGAAAATGCTGAGTCAGCGTGATCACCATTGGTTTAACATTTTTTCTAATTTAAAACTTCCATTCCATGTAGCCAGACTTCAGATGCTTATAGCCAGCCTTCAGCTTCTTATAGCCAGCCTTCAGCTTCTTATAGCCAGCCTTCAGCTGCTTCTAACCAGCATTTCATTTCTTATAGCCAGCCTTTAGCTTCTTATAGCCAGCCTTCAGCTGCTTATGGCCAGCCTTTAGCTGTTTATAGCCAGTCTTTCCCTACATTTAGCTTTTAGCTAGTGTTGTGCGTCCTTTAGCTGCAACTGCTCAGTTTCAGTAAACTTCAGCTGTCATTCAGCTCTTAGCAGTGGCACTGCTTCAGATTTTTCTCTCTTTAAATGCTGAAGTGTGATGAAAGGATCCTCGTTATCTCTGCCTGCGGTCTAATAAATCAGTCTGAAGCCGCACCGTGCTGGTTTATTACAGCCGTCGTGGTCCAGACGTTTTTACGGCTAAATCGCTGTTTTTGTCCAGCAGCTATCAGATAATTCTGACAGCTGGTCAATCGACAGACACCTCCACTGTCTTTCTGCTCTCTGCAAATTGAATTCACCTCAGCGCCGAGGGATTTATTAGTGTGACAAGACTTATCTCTCTGCCCACCTGCTCTGCTAAATTACCCATCCGCAGATATCAGCAGTCAGGTGGCTTAATGGCCGCTGCGCAGTCTTTACGCTCAGAAACACACGGCACACTTTTAATGGCATCATTTCACAGACGTTACATCTTTAAACTGAGTTTCACTCTTCAGCTCTACTGAACTTGATCAGAAGAGTTCAGTTTACTAACTAAATACATATTTGTGGGAAAAATATTAAAACGTACAAGAAAGAAAAGTTTTGTGTTTTATTAAAAAGAAATATCAAACATACATAAAAAAAACCTGCAGATTATTTGTTCAAATTTTCATTTTTTGAATTCATCCACCATTAAAATACTTTTTAGGTGAAACAAAAAGGTTACGTCATAAAGAACAATCAGCGGACGAAGAGGAATATTCAGAATCTGTAAAACTTGTTTTACTTCCTGACGTCTCGGCAGCTCGTTAACGGCTCCAGAAGGTAAATCTTCTCGGAGCTCGTTAGTGAGAGCTGTTCTACATTTTGTGGGAGTAGGTCAACATTCACACCTCCGCACTTTAACGTTAACCCAGCCGACGTGTCCAGGTAACACCGTCTCCCTTCTCATTAAATTTCATCGCCTTTTTGCTGAAAAAAAAACCCCAGGCCTGGAGAGCGCAGGTGTAGTCATCGTCTGTGTTCCTCAGAGGACCCGTTATGAATCAGCAACATCAAAGGGATAAAACTGGTCTTTGGTTCCTCGCAGGAGTCGTCTCGGTGCTCTGCCAGCTCCGTTTCATCCTCCTGCTCGGGATCTTTAAGCCCGACAGGAGTCAGGGCAGGAAAAGACTGCTCGTCAGAGGCGTGCTGGTGTTTATAAATCGGTTCTCGTGGAGAACAACAGATGGGTTTTTACCCAATGACGTTAGGAAGCTCGTTAAGAAAAGTGAACTCTGCCTCTCGGTTAAAGTCTAATATGAACGCCATTAAACACAAACGCTCGTTCCGAAGCATCGGGGTAATTGTTGTAAACAAAACAGACGTTGGGAAAAATCAACAGCCTGAGTGGAGCTTTTTGTTCCCGTGGCTCAGTCACAAAACAAGGTAATCTTCAAGAAGAAGAGGGATTTCAAAATGTGGAAATATGGATGAGAAGAGAAACAAGATCTGAAGATTAAACCAAGCTACGTGGGTTAAACCTTTAACTTCCCAGGTTGAGTGCTGGAGACCAAACAGATAAAATACACAAACCTCCACTTGAAACCTTACCCAACTAGTTCGCATCAATTGTGAATAAACCCCAACATCTCAGGGAAGGAGGCGATGTTGCAGTTTAGTTACTTTTGTTACAACTTAAATTCATTCATTCATGTCTCCAAACACGTTGCACGGTGGCACAGTGGTTTGAGCCGGCATCTAACCATGCAAGTAAAGTGTATCGCTAAGTCTTAATTGTCCCTCGGTGTGGGTGAGTCTGTTTAATAAAATAATGAAGTGCTATGTTTTGTCATCATTGTATGTTCCCATACAAAGACGAAATTGGTTCTCTGCATTTAACCCATCGCACCTGGGATACGACCAGGTGGAGCAGTGGGCAGCTGTGTGAGTGCCCGGGGAGCAATTTGAGATTAGGTGTCCTGCTCAGAGACACCACAAGATGTGCAATGACCGGGGATCGAACCCAGGACCTTAGGGTCCCAAGTCGGCTGCCCTGCCCCCACACCATCTCAGGCCCTCTTGACTATGTGTCCCTGTGATGGACTGGAGACCTGTCCAATGTGTCCTCCGCCTCTCGCAGTGACTGCTGGTGATAGTCACCACCTCCTTCCTACTTACCTACCTAGGTATGTATGTATGAATTTCTGTATGGATATATGGATGAATGGATGAATGTATGTATGAATGAATTTATGGGTGGGTGGATGAAAGATGGATGGATGGATACCATACCATACCAATTTATTTATATAGCACTTAAAACAGCAACAAGGCCAACCAAAGTGCTGTACAAAAGAACACAAA